AGCTTATAGAGTCACGAGTTTGAGCTCAAATTACAACTTATATATTATACGAGTTCAAGTTCATACAAAGGCTTCGTTTGGGACGGCTTTTTTATTACTTCTGAAAACAGAGTTTTAGAACAAAAATAAAAAAAATTGTACTATAACTCCGTTTTAAAAAGCAATAAAAAAGTCGTCCCAAACGAAGCCTTAATGAGGTTATGCTTATTGGATTGAGAGATAGCTTGAATTAAGTAATCTAAACTACGATTCTTCTCCATTTTATGTTAAATCATGAGAGCTCACGATGACTCAATTTAGGGCAGCTTATGGTGAAATTAAAAACCTCTGGTTGCATTACGAGTCTTGCCACTTAGTCTTCTTCTTCTTTAATAGTCTAGGTCACGTCATGACTTCATATTCTTTTATTTCAAATGCATGTGCCCATCACAACTTCTACATTTTCTTCAAACTTCGTTGGTACCATAATGCCCTCCAATATGCTTCTATCATGACTTCCTCGATACTTGAAGATACCTGTAAAACAATGGTTAGTGAAACAGGAAAACATAGGAAGGAATATGATAGCGATGAAGCTTCTTCATTTCATTGTGTTATACTACAGCTCTTTGCATACACATATATATTATAGTAAAGGTATAAAGTTTGTTATAGGTCAGAGGAAACAGGTTGTTGCTGTGGCAGAACATAGTGGACGGCGACTGTTGCAGGGCAGAGGAACGTGTCCACTTGCTGTGATGACTCTCGGTTGTATAAGCAGATGTGCTATATAAGAGCTGTATGATAACAATACCATCTCACCTCCTAGCTCCCATTGCGATGCTTCTCCAATTACCTTGATCTCATGAGTCAAGCATAAGATTGTCACTAGACCAATGAGCTGTCTTCAAGCACTAAACTTGACTCATTTACACCATTAAACCGACGAACCGAGCCCTTATTAGTTATTGAATCATTTACACCTTTATCCACTACAAAGAATATCTATTTTCAATAATCTGCAGTGCCACTTGTGCAAACAAAATTTCATAAATGATAAATATTTTATTAAAAAAAATAATATATTGATTACTTGGCTGGACTGTTTTTCCACGTGGAACGTGGAATATTCATTTGGATGGGCTGGAACAGAAATGTCGATGATGAATGCGTTGGATCTTTATAATTATTTATCGTATAACTTTTGTCTGACAACTAATTATTTTTAAGCTTCAAACGAGGTTGGAATCTTAACGACCTGACTTAAGATGAACTCAAAATGCTATGGTTACCCCACTCATTATCTCAAATCGCAAGTGGGGGGCAACGTAGCTACCACTTACTCAACATTTGATGACCACATTTTTAGTGGCTGTCATATGGTTTGAAGATAAAGAATTTTCTTAATATGATTTGCATTAGGGGTGTCAAGTTTTGACCGATCGAAACACCGCCCGAACCGCCCAAAAAAAAATATGGGTTGGGTCAACCCCGTTTACTAAAGGGTCGGGTCCGGGTTCAGTTTTTTGACATGTTTGAAAAAACGGGTCGGGTTGGGTTGACCGACAACCTGGCAGTCCCCGAATTGACCCGTTTCGCGTGCTGCGTCAAGTCTCGCGAACTCGCGCATCGTCCACTGTCAGCAGCTCGCCCGGCTGCGGCGGCGAGCCAGCACAGCTGCGGAGCGCGGAGCAGCGGATCCCGATTACCGCATCCAGCAGTCAAGCCGGACCTGCCCGCACCCGCGTCCAGCCAGACCGGCGTCCCGACTCCCGCGTCCTCTTGCACTCCTGGGTCCGCGTGCAGCCGACCGGCGTCCCAACTCCTGCGTCCGCGTGCAGCCTGACCGGCGTGACGGCGTCCCGCGACGGTGCGACCTCGCGAACTCACCCACTGCCGGGTCGCGGGTCGGGTCGGGTCAACTCGGCAACCCGGCCGGGTTGGGTCCGGGTTGAAATGTCCGACCCGTTTACAAAAATGGGTCGGCTTCGACCCGAATTGACACCCCTAATTTGCATCATGCGTAATTTTAATAAAATATTTATATTTTGTGTGTTCAAAATTAATGCTGATAAATGATTTAGTTTTGTTTATAAGTAATATATATTATTGTTGAGGATTACAAAATATGCAGCAATAGAGTGAAAGATTTGTGCCTTAATTTTGCTCGAATATTTAACACACAAACAAACAAATGAAAGAATATGAATAATACTTGATATATTCTCATAAAATTATCTTGACCGGGCACGAATCTCGAGACAAAATTAACTCTAAAATTTCAAAAATTAAATATGGGAGCATCTAAACTCCGATTTCAGCAAACTTACATTCAAAATGTGTGTCTCGGAAATAAGAACTCAACGACACCAAATTCAACTTAATCCGAGCCCAAATCAAGTACCCGAAGTGCTGTTAGAAAGCTCGAACCACAATTTGATTTACCAAACGGTCACCGATTTTAACGAGCTTATAGTCGAATCGAACGGCTCGACGACACAAATCCAATGAGCCCAAGATCGCTGAAATCCGACATTACTAAGACTTCAAATGTCTGACGAATGGTTCACGATCAAAGGATTCAATATCAGCTGTCCATTCAGTCACTTCCTATTTGCCCCTGATCTCATACCTATTTACGCGCCATGCCACTCCAGAAAAATTATAAATAGATCCCTCATTTCTCATAAGAGGGACCCCCAAGTAAGAAGAAGAGAAGAAGAGAAGAGAAGGGGAAGAGAGAACTGCTCCTCCTCGACCACCGCCGGAGTTCTTTCTGTCGTCAGAACGACGCCAGAATCCCGCCGGACGCTTGAGTGACTCCGAAACTCTACTCGACTTTGTAACTGAATTTCAATTCAGAAGAATTATTTAACTATATAAATGTTGATTACAATGGTTTGCTCGTCCTTTAGCTTCAAGATGATAAGATATCAGGAATTTAGAGAATTGGACAAAATCAATACGGGTTGAAATTCATTCGGATGTTGTGGCTAACTGATACCTATTTGAAAGTCTTGGTCGGGCAATAATGATTTGATGATAACAGTCGGGCGAGTATCTTAGTCATGTGTCGGAAAAGAGAACCTTCCAACCCTAATGTGTTTTAACTGCGCTTTCTTGCTGGAGGAAATACAATGAATTTTGGTAAAAATCTTGTTAGCTACAGTATTGATACATCGTCAAAAAATTATCTTGATCGGGCACGAATCTCGATGCAAAATCAAATTAGAAACTTCAAAAATTAATTCGGAGACAATCTGAACTCCAATTTCAGCAAACTTATAGTCGAACTGAGCGTCTCGGAAATACGAATCCAACGACTCCAAATTCGACTCAATCTGAGCCCAAATGAGTCCAAATCAAGGACCCGAAGCGCTGTTAGAAGCTTCATAACACTGTTTGAGTTACCAAACGGTCTCTGATTTTTACGAGCTTATACTCGAATCGAACGGCTCGACGAGACAAATCCAACGAACCCAAGATCACCGAATTCCGACATCTCTAAAACCTTCAAATGTCCAACGAACGGTGCACGATCGTAGGATTCGATATCGGCTGTCCATTCGACCACTCCCTATTCGCCCCTGATCTCATGCCTATTTACGAGCTATGCCACTCCAGAAAATTTATAAATAGAGCCCTCATTCTTTACAAAAGGAGATCCAAGCAAGAAGAGAAGAAAGGAAGAGAAGGAAGAAGCTCCTCCTCGACCACCGCCGGGACATCGCCGGACCACCGCAGGGACATCACCGAACCACCGCAGGAACCTCGCCGGACCACCATAGGAACCTCGCCGGACTACCGCCGAAGCCTCGTCGGACCACCGTCGGAGCCTCGTTGCACCACCACCTCAAGGCCCGACGTTCTGGCCCGACATTCTGGCCCGATGTTCTGTTGAAGGCCCGACGCTCTGCTAAAGGCCCGACGCTATGCTCAAGGCCCGACATACTGCTCAAGACTCTACTTTCTTCTGAAGGCCTAACGCTCTGGCACGACATTCTGACCCGAAGTTCTTCTGAAGGTCCGACGCTCTGCTCAAGACCAGACTACTAGCTAACACTCAAACTTTCAGGTGACGCCAGGGTACTGTCAGACTATCAATTGACACAGGGTCTAACGCCAGACTTCTATCAAACAATTGCTAATTGTAATCTGATCGCCCTTGGAGGTGGGTCAGCCCTTTGTAACCGACTCAAATTATAGTTGAATCATTATCAACAGGGCTTGGCCCTATGGTTTTTCCCCTTTTCAAGAGTTTTCCACGTAGAAATCTTATGTTCTCTGTGTGTGAGCTAGCTATCCGTACAACGCTAAGACGCAAAATAATAACTCTATCGCCGCGTATATTCTAGCCCGCAACAAGTATCAATTTTGATGCTTTCTTTTATGCTCTTATGATCAAGCAATCCCATAATTTCAATCAGTAAATCAACATAGAAGGTTATTGTTGACAGTATTCAGTTTGTCACTAAACTATGAAATGCTTTAGTTTGTTGTTGTATCCCTGATTGAAATTTTATTACTTCTTAAAATAACTCTTATACTAAAAAAATTATTTTAAAAAACAATAAAAAATCTTCTAATAACGAAGCTTACTTAACTCGGGTAGCAGGCTCCTTCGTAAAACCGCAAAGCGCGGATGACTTTCCAACAGCCGTTTATCTCCGTCGCAATCTCAGTGGCTCCATCCAACGGTGATGCAACATGCCACCGAACTGCATCTCTGTAGACCGTCTGATCTTCCATAAACTTACCATCACCGTTCATTGATCAGGAAGATTTAGGGACCCTCCCAACACACGCGCAAAAGGTCAGATCATCCTTGTAGCCTTCTGCGTAGCGTGGGCCAAATTGCCAGGCAGGCGTCAAGAGACGGCTTTGTTTGTGGGACCCATATCATTTGCCCGTGACGCTGCACAGATGGCTACACAGACATTAAGAAGCCCACAAGCGGTTAGGTTTCGCGGAGGTGAGGTCCATGTGATGTGCCAGCCACATGGAGTGCCTTCCTCAATCTACGCAATTATTACAGAAGTTACCCATATCGAGCAAGACGACCGGGTTGAGCATAATTCTTGAGGGTAATATTGGTATCTGGTGTTCACCAGAGTCTGGGGAGCGTGCGCAGTGAGATACAGTGAGCTAACGCCAAGCAATTCCAGCGAATGGACCATTATAAACCGTAGTAAAGTAGAATGGGAAATGAAGTATAATAAGTGCAGCCTGTGCAGCCTGCTTTAATGGGCAAAGGCCTTCTTCTTCTCTTATGGGATGAACCTCTGTTTCCCGCATTGCGTCGGGCAGAGCTATTAGGGCAGCATTTTCATTCTCTTATAGTTTTCCGGCGATTTGTCTGTTGGTTCTTCTCTTTCCCTTAATTATCGGAATTCTTTGGTCCTGCATGCATCGTCTGCCAATGAGTGTTGTCAATGCTGAAGATGTGAGCTTGAGAGAAGCTGCAGAGGTCTTCAATAGACTCCGTCTTTTTAGTTTCAACGCGAGGAACCTTGCGTTACGAGGAAGTTAAAGTTTTCTTAGATCTGGAAAGATTGAGTGGTGTTGGAAAAGATCGAAAGAAGTTGGCGGCTTTTGATCCCCGTTTCTAAAGCTAGACCTCAGTGCTGTTTACGGAGCGAGAGTGCCAAATAGAAGAATTGGAGTCGTTTTTCGTTTTTTTTCCCTGGAGCAACTGCCTTGTGCCACCTCTTCAGTCTCGAAGAGGTAATATGTGGATCCTGCTTTGATGCTGGTCGAGGTTTAGAGGACACTTCTTTTTGATTGGCTTTGAAATGGCGTCTTGGGATCAACTGGGAGAGCTCGCCAATGTCGGTCAGCTTGTGGGATTCGGAGCATCGCAACTGATAGGTATGATTGTGCAGGCTGCAGCCACAGCTCGAACGCATAAGAAGAACTGCCGGCAATTTGCTCAGCACCTGAGGCTGATCGGTAATCTATTGGAGCAGCTTAAGATCTCGGAGCTCAAGAAGTATCCGGAGACAAGGGAGCCCCTTGAGCAACTTGAGGATGCGCTGCGGAGATCCTATATTCTTGTGAGTAGCTGCCAGGAACGCAGCTATCTCTACCTCTTGGCCATGGGCTGGAACATCGTGTACCAGTTTAGGAAGGCCCAAAGTGAGATCGATCGCTATTTGAAGATCATCCCCCTCATCACTCTTGTTGACAATGCCAGGGTTCGGGTGAGGATCTTGCATCTTTTCTCAAAATTTTTCATTAAAACTCCAGGAGCTTTCCTGCAATTCATGCCTAAAGGTCCTTTTCTAATTCTAAAATAATATTGAAGAGATTAGAAGATAGTTGCCGTTCTGCTTTGGAAATCTCTCGTCAGACCTTTTTACTTAATTTTTTTTTATTTTTTAACTAACGATGTAGGGAAAACTCTTGACATCAAGCTTGATATTCATAGCATGATTGTAATATCCATCCATCATTTGTTATTAATTTGGATAGATGATTGTGAACATTTCTCATACATTTTCTGTTTTTCTCAGCTGTCATTATCAACAGAACTGTGCTATTTAATTAAAAAAAAAGCAACTACCTTGAATAATACAATTACTAATCTTTAGTACTACCAATAATTGCACATATTAAAATATAATAAAGCTATGGGATGAGCATATTCTTGTTGCTTGATTTTGGCATTTACTTACGCTAACATTTTATACTTTTTAGTCGTGTAAGCATTGGATTCATCATTGAGAATTTGAGATAGGGAGGGTTTTAATTAAATGGGTACCTCAACATGGAGAGATTATTCTATGCGGTCACCGGACATAGCTTACCGTCCAGAGACAAATCAGGTGCAGCCATGTCATCCAGTACCGAGCAATACCAAGTAGGGGTGATGTGGCGTATTTCATTGGGCACTGGACGGCGTTCGGCGTCCGCACAGAATAATTCATCCTCAACATGTGTCAAGTGGGTTATGGTAGGGCACGATGGCATGTGTTCAACCCAATATAACTCCCACTATTGGAAATGGAAGCTAGTTTTTGCAAGATCTTTGGTTTAACGGGAAAAGTCTTTTCGTATTATTTGGGGAGCAAGTTTACAATGGGATTCCTGTGCATGTGCCATGTGGATAGCCCACTGATCCCATCATCATTGGCTATTTTTGGAATCTTGTCTCTCTTCCAATTACTCCACTCTTCTTAATGCTATCTGTATTTGTAATAATATTATCCTTGGGGAAATTCTATTCTCGTGGGACATTACTAAAACTTCACCTTCAGAATCCTAAAAGATTATTTCAATTCTTATCTTCTGATTGTTGATTGGACCACCTAGTTATGATGGCTGATAAGCTTACTCGTAGAGGTATCATAGGTAGAACAGCTTGCTCTCGTTGCAATAATGAGAATGAGAGCTATATCCAACTATTATTCAAATATTTCTGTTTTATGCTCACAAACTGATTATGAAATGAAGGTTTTTAATTATCTTTCCTTCTTAGCCATATTTGCTTAAAGTTTTGGAACAATGGAAGGTTGGCTCATGATCAAATTATTACATTTTGTATGTTCTTATTATTTTGCGCATTGTCTATAACCCTCGGAGGGAAATTATTCACGCAATGAATGACAAAAAGAATTGTAACCTTTCCTCATTAAATCAGAAGATCTAGTATCTGTTCAAAATCAAATTCAATAGCTGCACTGGCATTGCCTGTCACCCTTGCACTTAACTAAGTTTTTGCATGCATGGAGATAACATTGAAGGTTGCTTCTCTCTTGACCAGCTATTTGGTTGCTTTATCTGTCTGATATTGTTTTTGTGGAGAATGATGAATTCTAGACGTGGTAGTAGTGATATTTTCTTCGGGATATTCCTTGGTATCCTTGGTGGCTGTCATCTTGAACTTACGCTCTTTTTTCTGTGCCAGGGATCCAATTTTTCTATTTTTGCTTGCTTATTTGGTCCCAATCTTTTTATAGCCTCTGGGATCCTATGGTTTGGCGGAGTCATGCCTCTTTGTTACCTTCTAGTAAGGGGCATCCATCCTCTTATTGATTGCCTACCTTTTATAAATTAGGCTGCAGGCTCTTTTTTATCCCACTTTTGTTCTTCTGCTGCACATATATTATTTTCATTTTTATTTTTTGTTTGGTGTTCAGTTTAATTTGGGTTGCAACATGTTTTTTATATTATAGCCTCACCCTCTTTTTATTTTTTGGTGTTATACGCTTGCTATATCTACTTTTTAAATTTTATTAATTTAAGCTGAGGCTCTTAAATTTTCCATACAATGAAAGTAGGGGTCAATTGCTATTTTAATGCCAATTGGCAAACAACTACAAACTTAAAATTAATTAGCTCGTGCTAACCATTTAGTGAAACATATTTTGTTTTTTTAATGATTGCCATGTTTATTGTGTCTATTGTTCTTCATAAATGATTTTATCATACAGCACTATTTCAAAATGGAAAAGGGATTTTGATGAATTGAATGCAGTATTGTGCACTTGGGAATATATACTTTCGTGATGACTATGCTTGCTAGTGTATTACTAGATGGCCTGAATATTTATGTCACATAATGGATACTCCACAAAAAATTTCAACTCTTTCACAGTTTACTGCGGAAGAGAAAGCCTCTAGTTACTAGAATGGCTGCTAAAAAGCTCGAAATTTGCTTGAAAATTGCAAATTATATACCTCTTGAAAATGAACAATTCAATTTTGAGCTCCTCTCCAAAATAGAAACAAGTTAATTTTGAGTTTGCTTTAACTTGTATAAATACTTAGTTTGGGTAGACTTTAAATAAACATTTATATGGAGTATATAACATATACATAACATAATATATCTCTAAGACATGGTGTAATATTGATATGAATGTATATTTTAAATTAAAAACTAACTTCATGTCTACTTAAAATAGATCTCGAGTTGAGTATTTTGAGTTCCATTTCAACCTTACTGCTTAAATCTCACTCGGTGTCACCCCTAGTCTCCAGTAATGTAGGCATCTTATGTAGAATTCATAAATAAGACTCAGCTTACAACTTTTTATCCCCAGTATTTTTATCTTTGCCTGACAAGTTCATCTATTGTGTAGGCAACTTTAAGAAATAAGTTAAATGAGAGAAATATGATTAATTATTATTATAAATGTTAAATCGGTGCTGCAAATTTAGTTCCAATTGCACCTCGGCAACTGTTATTGTCATTGATAATCATACTAGCTCGTTTATAAGTTGCCTGTGTGGCTAGCAATCATTTTGATTGTCGTACATGTTGCCTTTTTAAAATTATAAAATCATTTCATTTATCTTCATGCATCAGGAAAGACTGGAGCATATTGATAGGGACGACAGAGAATATACATTTGACGATGAGGACAAGAAAGTGCAAGATGTTATATTGAATCCTGACCCTTGTAGCAGTCATAAAATGATTCTTAAAAAGACCCTTTCTTGTTCATACCCAAACTTGAGATTTGATGAGGCCCTTCAGGAGGAAAATGAGAAACTTCAGCTCGAACTTCAAAGATCTCAAAGTAGCATGGATATTGGGCAGTGTGAAGTCATACAGCATTTGCTTGAAGTTACAGAAGCTGTTGCTAGTTCTTTAAATGAGAAATGTGCACATCACAATAATTTGAAAAAGGAAGAAAATAATCATCTGGATGCGAGCGATGATCAGGGATATCCCTATGATGGAAGTTATCAATATGAAAGCAATGCAGGGTCAAGGTGGGATTTCTCATTTTGTTGTTCCCCAATGATATAAACATGACGCATATATCTACTTCTATTTTGGCCTTATTTCTTAAATATTATGAAGAAAATAGCTCTGCTTTGCATGCTCTCTTAGTCATGTGACAGAAAACAGAACCTTCCAACCCTAATGTGTTTTAACTGCGCTTTCTTGCTGGAAATAAATTGAATTTTGGTAAAAATCTTGTTAGCTATAGTATCAGCATAATGTCTAATCGCCTTACCTTATAAAGGAAAAAGAATCAATTTTAGTACTTTCTATTGCTGTTATGATCAAGCAATCCCATAATTTCAATGAAGGTATTTATGGATGTTTGAATATACTTAAAATTTAGTTTAATAAGTTTAAAAAAGCTCTCTCATTGATCCAATTATGTTTGGCGGATTAGGTCTTAATATTGGTCTAGTAAGAAATAATTGCAAAAGATTTATTGGTCTAACTAGAGTCTATGTGCATGACCAACACTTCTAAAACTAACTCTATCATAAACAAATATTTTATTTGCTTTGCATTTCAAAAGATGGTCCCGTTAAATTATATGAGCTCAATTATATTATTCAATATTTAATAAATATTGATGTAATTGTTGATGATGAGGATCAAACTCTATTATTATTATGCTATTTACCTTCTTACAAGAATTTTTATGACATCATGTTGTATTATTGATACCTTCAATTTTGAGGATGTGTGAGAATGTAGGAGATGATATGTTTTATGCATCCGTGATAAACAATATCATGGGCGGAACCATGTATTTCTTAGGGGGGCAATTGCCCCCCCTCAAAAAAAAAATTTTTTTTGATAGGAGTAAAAATAATTTTTTTTATATAGGAGAATAAAAAAAAAGTTTTGCCCCTCCTAAAAAATTATTTTTGCCCCCCCTAAAAAGATTTTTTGTCCTAACTTGCCCTAAAATATCTATATATTTCTTCACAATTAGCTCTAATTTTTTTTTTTCATGCTTTTCATGATAGTTTAATTACACATTTTTTTCTTTATTTTTTCTTTTAAAATTTTTTTAAAAAAACTTTTCGTAATATATAGATATATAATATTATTTTTTTAGTATTTAATTATTTTTGTGCTGTATTTGCCCCCCTCAAAATTGAGGCTGGTTCCGCCCCTGAACAATATTAACACCAATTTAAATGGCATTGGTAATGTCCGCTTGATGAGTGGGATTATTATAAGAAAAATCAAATTTTGATATAAGTCCACGAAGTCAATAATATGTAAACATGCAACTTACATTGTGCAGTATTCAGACTTGGTATGTGATTTAGACGTACATGACTACTGTTTACCCTTCATTGAGATTAAATAATCACCAAAAAAACATAGACTAGCTTGTGACCGGTCATTGGGTATTAGGGTAGTGATCCCTATCAACATCATTATACGCCATAAGATGAAGAGAATAGCTAGTTGGAATAAACAAATCACAGTTTTGTGTCCCAGTAAGATATTAAATGATTTGACGAACTACAACTATGTATGAATGATGAGGTGATGTAGGACCACAGTGAATGTAATGAAATTATGAAAAGTTGAACAGCTTAGTGATTAGAGAAATAACAAAAATAAACTACTAGCAAACAAAACGATGAGTTAAAACATGAGAGCGGTTACATTCGCTTAGGCCAAGCTACATGTCAAAGAGATTTAAACCACCAAAACATTTTAGAAAATAAACAATAATTTGCAAAGTAATAGTTTTTAACGAGAATCCCTAATCTGACAATGAGAATTAGAAAGCAAAGAGGTATACTCAATTTCCTACATTTACTAAGCTCGACAGAGTGGGATAAACACGCCCTTCATGACTACAATCAAATCACAAGAAAGATTAGTCTTAAGAAATACAAGAAAAGGCAATTAGGAAAACCTTCATCAAGGACCCGGGGCGATCCTCCACTCGACGATCTCTAACTGTTCTTCATTAGCTTCGACTAGGGTGTCCAAAATACGTTCAAGATAATCTTCAACCGTATGATCGATCCGCGGGTTGACGTCGAAGAAGGTTGAATGGAGAACGTGTACGAAGCCATGTTCGTCGTAAGCAATTCTGTAGTCAGTTTCGGGATCGGCCATGCATTGGATTGTTGTGTGTAGTGGTAGTAGCAGCGACGTCCTTCAAGGCTCCAAGATCTCTTGAGAAAGAGATGATCTTCACATGAGACAAGGGAGGAGGGGAAGAGGGTTCGGCCAAGCTAAGAACCAAACATGAAATCAGGATTTTGGTTTCTCACCAAGTCCCCTTCCAAAATCTGAAATAAATTTCAGATTTTGAAATTAGAGAATAGAAAAGTGAGAGGGAAATTTAATTCCTAAAATCCAGGAGGGGAATTAATGTGAGAGAGAAGAGAGAGTAAAATTCAAATGAATTTAAATTAATTACTTTCCTAAAATAGATAGATTAAATTAGGAAAGAAATTTGAATTTCAAATTTAGATGATTTGAATTTTAAATTGATTCCAAATTGTAATCACCCCAAATAAGGAAACCCAAGGATGAAGTAGGAATTGGTGAGGCCGGCGGCTAAGGAGCTAGGGTCGGCGGTTGTGGGGGATTTGCTTGGGGGGTTTGGGTGGTGGGAGGAAGGTTTGGGTGGGGGAAGGGTGGCGGCTAGGTGGATGGAGGGGTAGTGTCGCCGGTGATGGTAGGGGAAAGAAAAAGAAGACGAGGTAGCGGATGAAACCACGAACCCGACTGATCTAGGTTGGTGGGTGTTGCACAAATATCCCTCTCCTAGGAATTTCACTCCAAACTCTCAAGCTCTCATGAGAAGTCAAACAAGAGAAACAAAAATTTTCTTTGATCATTCATTCCCTTGCAAAGAAGAACAAGGGGCTATAAATAGCCTTTTACAATGACTCAAACATAAAGGATGACAATGCCCCTAGGGCTTATATACGACATCCCTAATAACAGGGGTACAACGAAAAACTAAATAAAACAAATACAAATGACATCATAAATAAGAAAAATACATAAAACAAACGACATCATAAAAATAAATCAAAAGTACAATGACTCAATCGTGGCCGTAGATCGGCGGCCGCGTGTAAACCTTCCATGATATGATGTCCCCATCATGAGGATTTTGCACAAATTGACTAGCTTGCTAAACCACAAAGGAAATATCCCGTGGAGTAATTTCCAAAGAATTTAAACTGTCTACCAATTGTCTAAATACTTTGTTTTCAGAGAGAAGATCACCCTTCTCACTTTGATTTACTTATAATGGAGTATCCTCCAGGAAAGCATTTTGGAGGCTAGCTAAAATAATCAGATCTTATGCATACTTATTGATGTGGAACATCACTAGCTAAACAATCCCTTTGGAATAGCCTATCTAAGTTTGTTACATGTTTGTTATATGCATTCTAGAATATTCTCCCTAGCTTATAAATATAGTTATTGTAGTAGGAAAAAGGCATTGATAAATATTATATGAATTGAAGCCTTTGAGCTTGGTTTGTCCTCTTGTTCTTTGAAATCCTTCAAGCATCAACTTCTTCCAAATCTTCTTCCAACGAACCAACGACGATCCCCCCACATCACTTATGTTGATTAAGAAAAATACCATAGAGATCAATGCTAACTTTCAAACGGAAGAAGAGCACTTAGATTCTTCATATGAAATATGTCCTGAAGTAGTTGCAGATGGCTAATCAATATGTCCCGGTAATTATAGTTTTATTAATATAAACTTGAAGGTGAACAATCCCACTGGATGTCTTGCAAAGAAATAATGAGTCATAGCTGCTCTATTTAAAGGAGAAATGGCATAGGGTTGAACAAAATTTATTCACCAATGAATATGGGGCATATTTTAATCTATACGGAGAACTTTGGAAGTTTAATGTGAAGCCCTCGACTGATAGGAGGCCCAGTGAAACGAGATGAGCGCCTTACCTAGATGGTGGGAGTCAAGCACTTAAGCAGAAGAGGTAGAGACGATATGAGCTTGAAACTCCTGTAAATGGGAAACATTGAGACAGTCGGATGCCATGGGTTAAACAACAATATTGTGATTTGCATGAATGCTTTTCTTTAGTCATTAGCTTTGATTTTTCCTAGTACTTGTTGTTGTAGTTGGCTGAAAGTGGGAGCTTTGAAAGAAAATAGAGAATTGAGTTTTAGAAATTGAGAAGAGACGAGGAAATTAATGAAACTTAGTTTCTATGACAATATTGAGTCATCCCAAAAACCAAAATATCATTGTACTATAAATTTTGAGAAAATTCCATAGAAGGATGTGTTGTACCCTTTTGAGGACCGTTTGTAGTGGGTAATTTTTAGTCTTAATTTAATTTCCTTTCATTATAAAATATTTTAAGTTATTTTATCTCTTATTTGTTTTTAGAGAAGTTGAGAAATTTCTAGTCTTTATTTGTAGTGGGTTTTGCTATTCTGTATTGAGAGTGGGAGCATTTTAGTTTTGATAATGATTGGTGGGTTTCTTTATTTTGTACAACATCGTGGCTTCTATTTAGTGGATTAGTGGTCAATCTTGATGTTCTTGTAGTATTTGATTTTTTTTTTCTGATTATATTGTTGTTCATCATATTCACTTCTTGTTAATTCTTCTTACGGGAAGTAGTTGCTTCTCTAGACAAGTATGAACTGATCAAATTTTAAGAAACTTTCAACCATCAACATATTGTCCATTTTGACCTAATGGTCTTACAGTTTTATTCCCTTGTTGTAACTTTCCAGTTGGTCAAACCCAAATGCTTTTTGTTATGGGCTGATTGTTCTCGTCATCCTTGCTTTTTTGGTAATTTATTTTAATTAATATAAGATAAATGTATTCTTTATTTTCAACTTGTACTAAAAAAATGATCTAAACTGAATACCATTTTATCAAATTCTCTTATTATCTTAGGCTAATTGTTCATCTATGTGCTTGCAATTTTTCATTTAATCAATTATCCTTGAGCGTGGATTTTCCTTCATATGAGAAAAGTGAATAACCCGTGCGTGGTCATGAGGTATGGGCTCGTCATCATCCTAAATACTACTGAAGTAAGAGAGATTTCTTAAACTGGGTTATCTACTTTTTTTAATGTGGAACTATATATGGAATTTTCAGATCTTCTTTTATTAAGCCTCACTTTGTTGTCATTCCTACTCTGAATCATTATATCTTGTCATCTATCCAGTTTTGCATGTAAAAATTGAATTTACAAGCTCTCATACAATTTATTCGAAACTTATGCAGAAGCATATCCACAGTATCATCTGGTCATGACTTGATCTCTAGGAAAGGATCACACAAAGATGAGAAATGGCATTCTGATTTACTGGGCTGCTGTTCAGAACCTTATTTGTGTGAGTTATAGGGATCTGCATCTCTTTGATGTGGCAATGAATTCTAGTTTTCTATGCGCTTAGCTATCGTTGATTTTAATTAAATTATGTGCAATTTTGCCTTGTTTCCATATCTTTCCTATTTTTCAATAATCTTATTCAATTTTACATTCCTCTATACATGATTGCTGTGACATACATCCCTTTAGATCATTTATTAATAGAGAGAGATCTCTGGTACATGGATTTGTTTTCTCTTCAAGTAATTTACCTAAGTACCTTTAATGATTTTAACTGAAAAATAATGCAACAAAATTATGTATTTTGTCCGAGTTTCAATTGGGACAATTTATATGCAGAATGCATGGCAGGGATAAGGAAGCCTTAGATTTCTTCAAAGAGATGGAGGCCAAAGTCAAGCCCAATCATGTTACTTTTACCAACATCCTTAGCACCAGCAGCAATGTCGAGCTGGTGGAAGACAGGCAAAATGCAGGAGGCCAAATGCTTCCTTTATGTGGGATTGCACCAAATATTGAGCACTATAGTTGCATGGTTGACATCCTCGGTCCTGCAGGGCATTTAGAAGAAGCAATGAAGTTATTGAAGAAATCATTCAAGCACTACATTTGCATTGGTCGGGCAGGTCAACTTGTTGATGCTGAATCATGATCAAATCCATGATTGTGCAGCATATGGAGATATATGGAAAAACCTTTTGTCTGCATTTAAAATCTTCAACCTAGGAGGACTGATTTTGATGTCTACATCTACCTCCCTACCAATGGAGAGCCTCGACGGAGTCGAGCTCTTTTGACACAAGGGAAGTATGATGTGGAACATCCTAGTTAAAGTATACCTTAAGAATAGTTTATCAAGTTTGTTACATGTGTTCTAGAAAGTTCCAGGAGGTTCTACGTAATACCCCACGATGCTCCTTAACAGTAATATAGAGTGGCATAGAAATGAACATAGCATTCAGTCTTTATCTTTTATCATTCCTCACACAATTTCATACCTGAATAAAAAACATCCAACCATAATATCGTTTATATAATAAACGAAAGCATTTAATTAATCCAAATTTTATAACATAAATATTTACTGAGACACTAAGAAATCTAAAATAGTACAACACTGAACAATCTACAAACCTCAAATGTAGACTTACAAACAATGTTAAATAGTAGAACATAAAATGAAATAAACTTGAATCTATTCTGCATCAAGTTTTTCCTTTTCTTTTCTTGTAATTGTTAGGGAATGTGCCCTAAAGAAATATTATTGTAATATATTTTCTATGGAAATAAATATTTTTTAAAGACAAGTTTAGCATGTTTTGATATTATCATTTGATATAATAATTTTTTTCCATGATTATTTATGTAACCATAATTCAATATATAATTATATACAAGAGGATTGAATTATGGATAATAATCAAAACAAGTTCATAATTATTAATTCTAGTTGGAATCTATAATTAAATATTATTAGTACGGTCCATCAACATTAAGAATGGAATAATCTTATCCGAAGTATTCGATATGGAGATATTAAGGATGGATGTACTTTATATAATATGATTATGTAGAACTGGACTAGATAAGTTTTGAATTCTCTAATAAATTCTATTTTAATTATAGAGAATTTAAAATTAATCATAAAGATGATCATATATAAAACAATCTTAATCCTGAGTTATTAATAAACTCCTATTTGTGACATTTAGTTTTTTGATTTACTCGTAAAAAGTTTGAAAAGAAATAAACTCAATCATTGTATTTCAGAAACACAATGAAACAAATGGCTGGAAATGTTAATATACAGATATGGAATCCATTCCTTTTAATTTTGAAAGTTAGAAAATTAGTTCCCTTGAATAATTAATTCAGAACTTGAACAATTGAGCGCTCAAATTTTGTGACTAGGTCATAAAGTTTATTGTTCATTAGAGAATTAATTGGAATTCAAGGATTAAGATATAATTAGTGAGGTGACAGAATTACCTAGCTCTAATTATGAACTTTTTATGGAGGATTATTTTATATGTAATGATTAAATCAATGGACAATTCAATTTTTGTAAAGCGGATTGACGACAGCAAGAAATTGTAAATATTTTTATAGGTTGGTGTTGACCTCGTTTTTATTCTAATGCCTATCGAGCCTTTGATCGATTTAATTACAGGCTTGCAGTCGACCAATGATGAACTCTATTTTCTAAATGGAATATAAGTTAAGTCTTCTTTTTGGGAATCTTCAAATCATTTATAAGAACTCTCGGGTTGTTTAATTATTGGCTATTTATGACTATACAAAGTCAATGGGGAAATTTTGCGGACCTTGCTGAAATTTGACAGTTATAGTAGAATTCACAGATCTTATATACTCTGGTCCTCTGTCAAGCTGCTATCCAAGCTTACATAATTTTTAGTTATGCTAATAATATTCTACGTATACGGAATGATACCAACAATATCTTAAGTAAAATATACCTGCAAAAATTATTTTTAGACCAAGTCTAGACCTACCAAAGAGTATTTTCTTAGATAAAATTTCGCTTATGATAAAAAAAACACTCACTATCTCATCGGGACAATCACTACTGGTCCTCTAAACTTATTGAGTGCAAAGCCAAACTTATATCTATGGAGATCATACCATATTATGGTAACCAAAGAATACTAGACATGACCGATACAATATCAAAATGGTTAGATTTTTCTGTTGCTACTTCAGTTGTCATTGATTCATTGCTGGAATGTTAGTCCGAAAACATGCATAATATTGAACAGGCATTTAGAAGTGATGAGTGAATTCTCAGTATTATCCAAAAATCATCCTAGAAATGAATTTATATAAACTGGAAACTTCATTTTGGTATACGTTGATGTTGAATTTGATGAGCTGTTGAAGACATAACTACTTGTATGTTATCAAAAAATTATTTGATCGGCCATGTGATTCATGAAATCAGTTGAAACTTCCAATTAAAATGGGAGCCATCCGACTCCTTTCAGGCAAACTTACAATCGACTGAAAGTCTTCTAGGAAATTACGAACCATAACCAATTCGCTCATCGAGTCCATCAGGGACCCGGAGCGCTGTTGGGAAGGTTCGAACCAACAATTTGGCAGTACAACAGTTTCCAAACAGTTAACATGCTTATAGGAAATCGAGCGGTCGACGAGACGAATCCAACGAGCCCAAGACATCTCCAATTCGAATCCTTAAGCTTCAATTGCCAATGAACTGACGAAAGGTCCAATGATCAGGGATGTCAATGATTGGTCAATCATCCGAACTCCCCCTTTCCCTTGATCTCTTCGACTATTGTACGGGCCATGCCACTCCAATATATCTATAAATGACCCCTCTTTCTCTTGAAAGGAGAGATGCGATGCGAAGAAGGACAGGGAAGAAGTCCTATCGACCACACCGGAGTTTCGCGCCACATTGAGGCCCTCCATCTCCGCCGGCTCACGCGCGAACCACGCCTGACGTCGTTGCTCCGCCGGGACCCACCACCTGAGGCCCTTGAGCTCACGCGGATCATCACTTGGGGCCCTTCCTCCGCCGACCAAAACCTGAGGCCTGAGCATTCGCTGGACACCACTTGAGGCCCTACTCCGCACGGACCACCGCCTATCGTCGTTGCTCCGGACCACCACCTGAGGCCCTAAGCTTTGCCGGACCAACCACTAGAGGCGTACCTCCGCGGAAACTATGCCTTGAGTCGTTAGCTCGCCGGACTCACCTGAGGCTCTGGTCCGTCTGGCACGACCATACTTGAGCCAACAACTTGCGTCGGAGCCACCGATCTGAATGTTGTGCTCAGCCGAACCACCAACTGAGGCCCTGCCAGCTTGCGCGGACCGCACTTGAAGGCCCATCACCTTCGCGGACCACCACCCTGAACTGTAATTGCTCGCGGCACCACCTGAGCCCTTGTAGCCCACCAACCACCATTGAGGCACATTCCTGCCGTACCACGTGCTGATTGTCTTTCTCCGCCGACCACCAACTGAGGCCCTAGAGCTCCACCAGGACACCACTTGAGGCCCTCGCTCCGCCGGACCGCACGCACTGAAGTCGTTGCTCCGCCGGCCACGTTGACGTCGTGCTCTGCGGAACCACTGAAGCCCTGAGCTCCGCCGGACCATCACTTGAGTCCTAACCTCGCGGAACACCAACTGACGTCGTTGTCCGCGTGAACCACCACCTGAGCCTGAGTCCCGTCGGACCCACCACCTGAAGGTCCTCTCATCCGCGACACCTATTGACGCACCAGAGTTCTACGTGAGTAACGCCTTACAACTATCCTCGTAGTCTTTTAGACCACTAGGTTTCATAGCCAACTTTAGCGGTCTTTCATAACCTGTCTCGTGCCGACTATGGCACTTCAACAAACAAATAGTTATATTGAATTATTGTAATCCAACATGTAAAGGCATTCTATATGGATTGTACCGATTCGTACCGTCAAGCTTAGGCTTTCATCCTAGAAGGGCATATTTATAATCGACTGCACATTAATGGAATTATTCAACTTGGGCCATGGACGTGATTTTTCCTTTTTCAGGGTTTCAACATAAATCTGGTGTTCTTGATGCAACCTACACTTCTCTCCTTTATCTGCTTGTGTGTTGGATCTTCGTCGAATACTAAGACGTTAAAACTAGTATATTTCTTCTACTGATGCGATATTTCAGGAGCAACATACTATTGAATTTTCTTTTACTTTAGTGACCCTAGTCACTTTAAAACAGTAAAAAATGGCATTTTGTGTATGTCTGGTGTGAGGTGACTACAGAAATATTGACAATTCCACTGTGAAATTGTGCAGGTGAATACTTTTTAGGAGATTTGTTTCTCCATATTATCAGCCTATGTTGTTTCTGTGAACACATCACTATGCAGGCATGCATTAACCTTCCCATGACAGTGAATGAGTATATTTTGAAGTTATTATCTTTCATTTATAGATACATGTTTTACTCTTATATTCAGTTTAATAG